AACATATCCTATATGCCTTTGTGCCATTTGGTGACCCTCCTATCTCAGAAGATAGCACCTGATCTCAGAGCAGAATTTTGGCCATGACCTCACCTGCTTCCAAAATATCTGTTCCACAGGATTCCCAGGGAATTTGGGTAACTCTAAGAACACCCACACATAGTATTTGGAATAATGGGATGAAGGACAATAAAGTGTTTTTTTTCTGAAACCTCAAACACAAAAACTGTGTAGAATCAGAGCGGTCCCAGTGGCATTTTGAAGCAACATAAAGAGAATGGCTACCACAATGCAAACAGAAAGTGAAATCCTCGAATAGAGTAATCTCATTGGCCAATAGGTACCTTTATAAAGGAAATAGAATTTATTTTGCTTGCTTATACACTCTACTATCAGGGTAGGGTTAAATGCTTCAAATCAGTTTCAAAAACTTATGTGGCCATAGTTTGCAAATAGCTAATTTTATAAAATCTCTCCACTCCCCTCAGGAATGTAACACATTTGAGGGTTTTCATTTATTTATTTATAGGTACACTTGGCTAATAAATATTAATTGATCTGGATACTGTCCTATGGGATAATTCACTTTCCCACAGTCTTGGCAGCCCTATGCACAATAGCTAAGTGTAGAGGAGCAAATCTGAGACTAAGAAAAAAGGAGGTTGGCGAGGGGAGGGGGGAGTCCCACGAAACATACTCCTGTAAGTATGACACAAGTTAGGAACAGAATCTGTCTTTTCTAGCAATTTAAACCTTAGATTATTGGTATATACTCCTGTTCAGCTTGTCCAGTTTACTTCCCTGCCTACCTCTTACCTGATGTAATGCCTTTTCCATCTCCTTACTCTCCTCAAGTGCTGGAAGATAGCTCCTCCCTCCAACACATTCAGGCGAGAGCCTCATGTTGCAACATGTCTTTCACTGACACTGGTCTCAATTCCCTTCTGCCAGCTTCCATGCTAGTTCCTCCCCAACTCCTGCAGTGCAATCCATTTCCCCCTATTGGCGCCCAACCTGAGCGGAAGTCACGTTGAGCAAGCGAGCCACAAGAGGAGAGGCAATTCGGATTAACTATGAACTTCTGAAAGCCTAAAGCCTTTATTTTACAGTTTGCCCCCAACAGCAACAGAGGAAACTTTCAATCATCTGTTACAAAACCGGGAATTAGTCAGTTTCCCAAGTATTAAGAGTTTAATATTTTCCCTATTGAAGCTGGATTGATTCAGTTGCTATATTTGGGCAGGCGAGATTTATACATCAACTAGAGTCTGGACCAGCCTGCAAAATTCTGGGTTTTCTAGATTGAGACCCATTTCTAAAACAACAAAACACAGCTCTTCACTTCTGATGTACTGATAAGAAAATATCACCATGTTAGGTCATTAATACAAACTTACAGACAGCATCAGTAGATCACTCAATGCTCATTCCAGGTCCAATTTATTACTAGCTAGCTGTTCTGAACCAGTCAACCCTATATATAGGTTTCAAGTAGGTTCAGTGATTTGATAGCTTGAAAAGACATTGTTCTGTACAATAAAACATTCATTTCACAACAACAAAATGCACCTTAACATCTGGGTCTTATTTATGAGCCAAAGTCAAATTTACTGCCATTATGCAGTATCTGCAAATATTTATCATATTAATCCCATCACAATGGTTTACAACTTGCAGTACATTTTATAAAATTATACAATTTGTTTACAACTAACCATGTGACAATGTTTTTTAAACAGGACTGGCTTAGAAATTATGAATCCTTCCACCAATGTGTGATTTAATAGACTGGTCAAGTTAAGCCTTTGCTATTGTGTCATTATCCTGCCTCCAATTAATCTTGGGATTTTTTTTTGTTTTGATTTAAATGGGAAATTTGATTTAAAACAGGATTTAAGTCAGTGCATTAAAATCTGTGTATAGAATGCCAGAATCTCTAAATAGACAAGATTCTGAATAACTGTAGTCAATATTTAACAAATTAATACTGACAGACAATCCCAGCTGTAATAAAACTGAAACTGTCTGCTGTCTACTTTATGTTTCTTAGGAAGTTATTTATTTTGAATGTAATAGAAAAACAGTATTAAAAATCTTTTTTACAATTTTTTCTAAGCATTCACAAAAGATTCCAGATTAAGACCCTGGAGATTTAAACTGTATATATACATAGGGCCCTATGAAATCCATTTTATTATTGTGTATTTTCAGATTTATTATTTTCTGATTTCTTTTTTTTCCATTAAAAAAAATTAATTAAATCTTCTCCAGCACTGGGGTTGTGGTGGGGACACAAAGCTCCTCTGGACCCAGGTCCACAGTGAGGAGACAACTTTATTTTTTTGTATAGTGCTGGATGTTTTTAGTGGTGGATTCATGTTTTTGTTTTTATTCCGCGATTCCATCCATGTTCTCGCTAATGTGGATTTCATAGTGCCCTAATATACAGCACAGGTAGTGAATAGGAGGTAACACTGCAACTTTCTCTATATTGTCCTGATACTGTGCTACAATCCTAAACTTAGAAGGCAACTCTATAAAAGACAGGACTATTTGATTGTTAACCTAACTGCTCAGATCACCACAAATGACTGGTGTTCAGTGATGTACATGCTTATCTACCAAGAACTGGATTGAACCCACCAACTCATTTTGCATAGGCCACTGATCAGCTATCAGAAAGTCACAGCTTTCAGTCACTACCAATCTGGGTTAGATTTGCGAAAGCAGTGTTTCATAAACAGAACGGCACGCATTTAATTAAATGATACATGGGAGAAACTGAAAGTATTCTTATACACTTACTAGAATCATTGTTATGATTACAGTATTTTTATGCATATATGATATAACCCTACTAGATAATTTAAACTAGATGGTCAAGATTTTCAGTGCCAAAACATTTTAAAGGGCCTGATCATCAGAGGATGAGTTCTTAGCACTAACTGACTGACTAACTAACTAGGCCCCATTTGGCTCAGGTGCCAAAAATTAGGGCATCCAAAATCAGTAGTCATTTCTGAAAATCTTGGCCAGAATCCTTAGAACACTAAATTCTATTCACCTAACTCATGTGAGTAGTCTCATGGTACTCATGTGAGTAAAGCAAGCAGGATCTGGTTCATATTGTATAATCTGTTATTGAATGTTTCTACTGAGATTGCAGGCTCAGCTACTGTATAACTTTCTATAATGCGTTAATTCTGGAGAGGAGATTCCACTGAATTATTTTCTTAAAGAGACAACAGAAGAGTATTTAAGTGGATTAATAACTGCAGTACGTAACACAAGTTCATATCACAAAGTGAAGGTTCTCTGCAGTCCCTAATCTTAGTATCATATATACATTTTATTTACTTGTGAGGGCATTCTGTGCCAAAAAATTAAAAATTCTGCTCCAAAAATTAAAAATTCTGTGCACAATATTTTAAAATGTTGCAAGTTTTATTTGTCCAAGTGTGGAGGAGCTCAGTGTGGGGGGATCCAGGTGTGGGGTGAGAGAATTCTGTGTGGGACAATCTGGAAGGAGGCAGCTCAGTGGGGGGGGTCTAGGTGTGGGGAATCTGGATGCACAGAGGCTCACTGAGGGGGTTCCAGGTGCAGGGGCAATGGGACTCTGTAGGGGCTTCCAAGTGAAAGTGATTGGGGCTCAGCAGAGGGGTCTGGGTGTGGGGGTCTCAGCTGGGGGGGTCTTGGTGGGGTGGGGGTCTGGGTGCAGCTAGTTGGGGGTCAGTGGTGTGGCGGTCTGGATGTGGAAGCTCAGGGGGTGGGGCTTGTGGGGGGTGTTGAGTGCAGGGAGCTCAGTGGGAGGTGGTCTGGGTGCAGGGGTTGGGGCCTGGAGGCAGCGAGTCTGAGTGCAGGGGGGATGCAGCTGCAGGGGTTGAGGTTCAGTGGGGTGGGTTTCAGGTATGGAGGGCTGTGGGGGATTCTTAGTTGTAAGAGGGAGGTTTGGCAGGAGTGTCTGGGTATGGGAGGTCCAGCTGCATGGTGGTTGGGTGGATGGGGGAGCAGGTCCCCATACAGAGATCTCCCCCCACAGCTGTGAAGCGATGAGGGCAGGAAGCAGGGGAGGATGCGGAGCTTCCTGCAGCTGTGGGAGTGTGTGTGTGGGGGTTCTGGGTGTGGGTCTGACACAGCCCCAGCCACTCCTTGCAGGGGAAGAGGAAGTCCCGTCCTCTCCTGCCTCCAGCCCAGCTGGGACTAACAGCTGAACCCAGCTCAGGGTAGGAGTCACTGGCTGGGTGTCCCCAGCTCTGCGGTGATTTACCTCTCCATTGGCTGCTCCAGGTGCCTGAAATGATGTACCTGCACAGCAAGGGAGTGGTGCATGACTGCTCTTGCAGCTTCCCTTTGCTTCCCTGTCAGAAAGTCATTTTTCTGCGGGGAAGCAAAAAAATCTGCAAGGACATGAATTCTGTGCAAGCGCAGTGGCGCAAAATTCCCCTAGGAGTAATTTTATGCTAAAATTAGCAGAGAACAACTTGTTCACTGTAAACAAGTCCAGATTTTTGCATATTTATTCATATACTAAAAATTAGGCAAGGCCAATTAATCAGGAGAGAGGAAGAGATAATTTAAAGAGCCAATAAGGACAGTTTTAAAAATATGGATAGTACATGTCATTCTATGTTGAGCACATGTGTATCTGCTAAATTAGTTTCCTTACCATTTGCAGCTTTTCAAAGACGGGGGTGGGGGGAAGCTGTACATTGTGAACTATTTTCTGAAGATGAAAACAGATTCCTGTGGTAAACACATCTAAATCCAATTCTCCCCAAAGGAATTTATGCAAGGTAGGCTTTCAGTTCAATCTGTAATTCAATATTAGTAGGCAAAATTTGGCACATGAATTACAGATTACACTCCTGTCAATCTTGTAAAGCCTTTAGACCTTTTAAAGATATGAATTCTTAGTCTTTCAAAGTGGAACTCACATTCAATCTATGAATTTTTCAACAAAGACAAACTTCAAAATATAAGTTATGCATTAAATTAATTGGTTCGGAGAGGCTTTACAGATTTTATTATTTTTTATTTTTAAACAAATACCCCACCCTACTGGATTCAAACACCAATATTAACTCATTTTCTGATGCAACCAAGACATCTAGCTTTTCTGAAAAGCTGCTTGTTGGGATTCATTTGTAAAGGAGCTCTCTTATAGATGTGCAGAAGATACTGCAGTAGCAGATAAAATTGCAAGTAACAGAACAATATTTCATTTCTGGGACACGATTTTTCTTTTGGGGTCTCGCGTGTTAATACCTGGTTGCTGCTGGTTGCCTTTTCCCATCACTCAGTGCAATCTATGACAGTGTATGTCAATGTAAGGATTACAGGACTCGTTCTTCACTCAGAAGCCAGTTCTGCAACCATTATTCACTTTGAGCAAACCTTATTCATGCGAGTCATCCAACTGAAGTCAATAGGGCTACTCGTGAATGAGTGCCACAAAATGGGACAAAGGCTTGAAGAATATGGGTCTCAGTTCATTAGACTTTTTAAAATAGCTCTACATTTAAAAAAGTGCATTAATAATAAGTGGATTCTTTTTCTGAAAAAAACCCAACCCCTTGGGTTTCTATTACTACTGTCAGGTTTTAACATAATACACTGACAGTCAATAACAAAAATGAACCACACTGCACCTTTAAGTGGGGGACCATTGTCTGGCTTGCTGAGGGAAAGGAAACAGTGTTTTAAGGGTGAGGGAGAGAGGTCAGAAACTGCTGCAAAAGGGGATGGGGTGAGTGTGGCGACACTGACTCATCCCCTGGGACCGGAAGGGCGAAGGAGTTGAAGAAGGGCAAGTCTGGGCATGAGGAGCTCTTTTTCCACAGAGCAGGTGAGTCAGCACCTACCTTTCCCTTCCCTCCCCTCCCCTCCCCTTCAGATAGCAAAATACCAGGCTTGGTCAGGACCTGCTGTGGGCATCACGCTAGCCGTTCCTTTTAGGGTATCTGGGAAGGACTTTTTCCCCCATCAGCAGATTGGCCTGATGGGGTGGATTGGTGGGGTGGATTTTCTTTTGCCTTCCACAGCAGGTTCAGGGATGGTTTTGTTATGGTTAACAGTGAAGGGAGTTAGGCTATATGTCGCAACTCATTAAGCAAGTGTGGGGCGGATGTCCAGTGCAGGTACTCCACAGTGAAGGTGTACAGTGACTGGATAAATGACTTGGTAAAGGACTTAAAATGGAGGTGTTGGTTAAAGTAATGGAACAGGGTGGCTCCTATACATGGTATGGCAGGGAGCCAACCTCCCTTTCTTACAGCCCACCTTAACCCTCCTACAAGGGTGGTGGTGGATGGTTGGGTCTCAGCAATAGGTGGCTGGGGGGCCTGCATGGAAAAAGATGAGGGCTGGCAGAAGCCTTCCTGGTAGTAACTGAACGAACATGGAGTTACCTGCATGATACACTTTTATCTGCTGGGTGGTCACCGACATCTAATAATAAAGTTGCAGTCTGATTAAAACCATATCAAGTGTCTCCTGTCCTTCTTTCAGTATAGCCGGACAATATACCAACCTATGGGAACACAGATTATCCAAACAACTTGTGAGAAGAGAGTTGTTCTGGTGCACAGGTAAAGCAGAATATATTCTTCAGTAAACATAAATGAATATTGGTTAAGACTCTATACATGGGGAAAAAAAGATGGCTAAAGTATAGTTTACTGCCTGTGGCAGTATAGCTAACAGATGTTGTGAACTGGATTCCAGTTGATCCATTTCAGGATTTCCAGCACTTGTAACAATTATTCTCCCAGTTTTCTTTAGTTGTTCTCACAACATCGTTACAAGTCACTTTCCAGTAAAAAGGTGACAGGCACTTTCAACTTAGGCAATCTTTTAGCAACAGCATTTCATGTGTCTTACAAAGTAGTTGTAAGAATGCTCAAATGGCCCCTTTCTTTATGCTGAGAGACTGTTTTTATAATAACATCAGCAAGAAATCAATAACAGAACAAAGCCAAATGCTGGAAAACTCTATTCTGTAACATGTTAACTTTGTGTTTCCTTTTTTGCTAAACTCCTTGAGCTGACTTGTACTGCACCTTGCCTTGCAGCAAAAACAAAAATTTCAATAGAAAATTATTAGAATCTCCATTTTGGTAGAATTACTCTTCACAAGTGAGAGCTTCTGGGAATATCTGACTAGAAACATACAAAAGCTATTTCTGCCCTCTCTACTGTTTTTTCTTCCGTCATTTACTTTGTAACGTTTATAAAAGACTCTTGAGTGCATCAGAGGATCATAATGAAAAAGCAACAGTCATTCCATTTCCAAAAGGCAATGGGTTAGGAGAGTTTTTTTTAAGTACAACTTTCTGACAAATATTGATTAGTGATAATTACAGTTGTACTTCTAAGAAAAAAATAATATTCTCCGAATATGAGGCACACAGATCTCAGGAACAGAAATAGATGGGATGAGTGTAAGAGACACTACGGCACAAACAAGGGACTCATAGTAGTGGAGTAAGTTTAGAAGAAAAGAGAATGCTTTACAAAACAAAGGAAGTGTGTACAATTTGCTGAGTGCCCCATGAAGAGCCCTCATATTCCAATGGGAAAATGCTTGCTGCTTTCAAAAGTGACCTGTTAAATCAGAATGATGAACCTTAGTATTGAGAGTCTCCTTTCAGGAATTAACTCAATGCAGCTGTATTCTCCCCAGGGCCTTTCATAATCAACAGTATAGGATAGGTCAGAATCACAGGGCAGTTTAAAGTACATGGTGCTGATGTTCACAATTATACAAAGGGTCAGAGATCGCCACTTTGAGGCTCCAGGTTCCGTGGCTCCCTTTGATGGTGTCGAGATAGCTTTGGAAAGCGGGTAGCCACTCTTGAGCGATTGCTTTTGCTTACTGGTTCTCCCACAGGTTGGATATCACTAGGAAAAAAGAAAAAGAAAAACACCAGAATAAGTTCATGTTGTGTGTAAATTCTCCTGTAGTTATTCTAAATGTAGAAAAAAGAGATGTTATGAGAATTCAGCCCATGATGGCAAAGTACAGTACATATCTTTAACTACATGGACCTGCATTATTTATACTGCTAACTGGAGTCTGAATTACAAAATGCGCTCTTGCAAAAATGAGAACAAGTAGTACTTTATGGAAGACTGTAATTTCTAAGATAAAAACATAACTCAATGGGCTGAAGTTCAGAGATGGCATTAAAAGCATTTGAAAGTGATATATGTAATGGCAAACTAGACAAAAGCTTGGATGATGCCCTAGTTAACGTTCTTCTAATTATGGATGGATGTATTCTTACGTGATGAAATACATTAGTAACACACTGCCGCTGGGAATTCTTCATTCTATTCTGGCCCACAACAGACTATGATCTTACATGAACGAGTCTTCTGAAAACAACTTACTTGGAAAGCAAATACTCTAAGAACAAAAAGCAGTAACGGAAATTTCTGGTTACATAGGTGTCATTCAGAGGCTATAGACACCTCCAAAAACTACAGTAGAAAGGAATAATGTTGTACTTTTGCCATACTTTTAGAGGACTCTACAGGGTTTAAAATTATACAGTTTACACACGTCTCAATCAACATCACTGATTAGCATTTCACAAACCAGCCAAATGATAACAAGGTTATGCAGCATGCAAAGTCAAAGTTATTTTGACATGTAAAAATCAGCTATTTATACTAATATTCAATCTGAGTTGATGAATTAAGAAGAGAGATGCTCTTCTGCAGTCTTTACTATTTTGGCTGAAAGCTGATGTATTTTTGAAGCAAACAATGCATTAACTCCATGTAGATCTCTTCTCCCTGCAGGATGACATTTACCACTGTGCAGAGAGCCTGCCTAAGGCTTATTTCCTTCATAAAAGCACTTGGAGAGCTACTGATGAAAAGCACTGTATAAGAGGTGGGTATTATTATTATAGGCACACTTAGATTCCATTTAAGATGTATTTTGAGGGCTTAAATGGGATGGACCTAAGTGGAACATAGGCCTTGTACAGGCTCTGTTCAAGGGTGCAAAATTCACCCTCAGGGAGCAGAGTATTTTAGTAAGGTAAGTCAGTCAACAGTACTTCATTTTGTCAGTGGTAACCATAGTTTTGTAAGGCTAATAAACAGTTGCCAATATTCCCCAACATAATGGACAGTGGGTTCCAGAAAATACCCTGCCAAAGTCAGTTGCTAAATTGAAAATGTTAGCAGAAAATAAAAATGCTTTTCAAATAGCAGTGTGAAGTTTCATTGTTGTGCATTTCCCTAGCAGAATAGCTTGAAGTAGCCTCAGTTTCGAGACAGCCTTAAGTATATTGATTTTAATTAAGTTCACTAAAAGTCCTACTACAGTACTTATTCTTTCGTTGTGACCAGAAAGTCCGCAACATGAAAATAATTGCATAAAATTCTCAATCTCAAAACTTCTTAGCAACTCACTTGTTCTTCTTGTGTAATAGTAAGGTTTACAAATTACCACTTTAGTGTTTTGCTTGCTTGTCAATAAAATCAAAACACTAAAATTTAGCTGGGTTCATAATCTTACTCTGTGGTAGCCATAGATAATTAAATATCCATTTCAACATTTCCAGATTTTATGATTTTTCAGTTTGTGACATCACAGCCCTGGAGAATCCAAATTAACAAAAGCTATATGCAGTACCTAGAAGATCCTGCTTTCTGAATCAATTTCAATTGTGCATATTAATGTTACTTCTATTCTATTTTTATTAATATAGGTGCTGAGGGAGAGAATTTATTACTACTTATGATTATACTATTATTACCATATTAATACACCAATTATCCAAGGTAGCAAAGAGCATCATCATTAACTCAAATGTGTCTGCCAGTTGTATGATGTCATCTGCCCAAACTAAGGAGTTTAACTGTAGATCATCCAATGTCACATCCTCTAACTCATCTCACATTCTTAATGTTTAAGAACATGAAGAAAAGCGATAGTGATTCCATATCCCCTTGTCTTACACCAAACTGACTTGAATAAGTTGCTTAATTCTCTACCAATTCTTAGAGCACAGTAATAATTTTTATACATAGCTTTTATAATTGCAATCATCTTATCTGAAACTCCATATGATTTTGCTACTTTCCACAATGCTTTCCTACAAACCAAATCAAATGCCTTTGTGAAGTTGATGAAAACACCAAAGATCTTTAACCCCCATTCTCACATTTTGTTCCATCAACTGTCAGAGCATGAATAATTAATAAATGCAACTTGGACTTGGTCTGAAGTTGCACTGTTCCTCGCTTACTAATTTTTCTAAAACTGGCCTTAATCCATTGACAATTACTTTCATCATGATTTTTCCCAGTACTGACGATATGCTTATACCTCTATAATTATCTGAATTTGCAGGATCTCCTTTCTTCAAGATTGGCCCAACTATTGCCTTTAGCCAGTCATCTGGTGACACCTCTTGTTCCCATACCTTTTTCTATATTTTTTTCTAATGCTTCAAATGCACTTGTCCCATTGGCTTTTAAGCAATTGAGCTGTTCAGTTGTCTGTTTTTTAACTGCTTCACTTGCTCTATTTCTTCTTCTGATGGTAGTACAGTTGTCCATTCTCTTTGAAAGCTGCCCTATTCACTTAGCATGACTAGAATGCTTGCATCTGGATGAACTACAGGGTTCAGACTTTGTCAGAATGCTCCTTCCGTACTTCCAGCACCACTTTGGCATTTGTTGTTAGTTTACTGGTAGCCTTTTTTGCCGCTTGCATTGCTGGCCTGATTGTGTTTCCATATAACTTAATCTTGTTGTATATTATTTTCATATCTTGATTTCTGGAGGTCTATTCTAGTTGCTGAGCCTCTTCTTTCCAAAATTGTTGCTTGTCCAATCTTTGTAATTTCTTCACCACTTTGCATAATGCTTTTACTCCTTCCGCTCTCCCAGCAGACTGGTTTGACTTGTTTACACGTTTACAGTGATGTTCTTGTTTTGTTGCTTGTCCAGCTTTTCCTTGTTTGCTTATGCCTTCCAATAACTCCCTCCACTGTGTTTTATGTTGTTTCCTTGAATATTTCCCAGCCAGACTATAGGGAGATTTCTTCATCATCACAAATTAATATCTTGAAAGGCCTTCCAAGCATCACCTTTTATGCCTCCCTCATAGAGTTATCCTTTATCTTATCAAAATCAAATTTAGTTTCAGCTGCCACAGCTTTTTTTCCTGGACTTTAACTGAATTGTTTCCATGGATGATCACTGCCACACTCAGCATTTCTGTAGACTAATATCCAACAGTGACAGTCTATGCCTTTTACCGATAATAATGTGGTCAGTCTGGTTTCTGATTTGACCATCTGGTGAGTTCTATGTAACCTTGTCTGTGTCTTTGTGAAGAAACCAAATACCACCAATAATTAGATCATGCATCTCACAGCAAGTTTTTAACTTTTTCCAATTATTGTTTACCATCATGATGCTGTGTGGTCCAACACTATTCATTTGCTTAGCATGTCCACTACTAAACTTTGCATTCATATATCCCATTCAGGATCATACCATGATCAGGAATCTCATCTACAGTATTATCTAGCTGCTGATAAAATCCATCCCTCTCTTCTTCTGCTGGTGCATAACAACAGATCACTGTTATCATAGTTTATCATAAGCAGTAGTAAACTCTGCTATGACAATCCACTCAGACAGCTGTTGCCAGCTGTTCACTGAAGTAACTGTTTTCTTGTCCACTGTTATAGCAACCCCATCTCTATGCTTTGCGTGTCCACTTGAATGACCAAGAAAGTGTAACTTCTACGTCTCAACTCTCCTGTACTCAGCCAATGTGTCTCTTGTGTGGTAGCAAAGGAAACTTGTAATGTCCTTAACTTCTCTGCTACTAGCTCAGTCTGGCCTGGAGCAAATAGAGTTCTAACATTCCAGCTTGTCATACATGTAATATGTTCAGCTGTTATCTGAAATCCATGACCATTTCCATTTGTTAGTCTGGGTCGAAATGTGTATAAATCCATTTGGTTTGCTATCCTGTTTCTATAACAAGTGAGTTTCGGATACAATGACTTTTTAGGCCAATCCACCCTATCCAGCTCATGGGAATGCTATGTTATAGCCTGCTGGTCTCCTGGAACAGGTATCAGCACTTCCACCCTAGTCACCTGTCTTCCAAGGCTAAACTGGAAGTAATAAAAATAAATATATCTAATTTTCATTATACATAAGCATCAGATTTACAAAAGGGAAGAAATAAACAAATTTTGCCTTGACTGGCATTTTTCATAATAAACAAGACTACCATTAACGCTAGGATTCAGTTTGCCAGAATGACAGCCACTGCTGACGACTGGTAGGATCATGCAGCAAACAGACAGTTATTGACTGTCCAGTAGTTTATGCTGTATGTGAAAACAGTGTTATATACATCTAGTGTAACTCAGTGCTTGTTTTACTAGAAGTATCTTTTAATACACAAGCTCCTCCTGCTGGCATGTTCATGAATTATCAGTGTTAGCCCAATAGGAAGCCACTCACCCTTGCTTTTGACTGAAAGAAGAGAATCCATCAAAAGAAAGGAGAAAGAGTTAAAAGGGTACAAAATGGATTTTCTCCTAATAAGGAATTATGGATCAATAGGACAACATCTTAACTAAGAAGTGTGGACTGCTTGGAGTATATCTGATTGGATGGAAAAAAAACAAAATAGTGTGAATTAAGGATAAAAATACCAAATTCTGTTATCAGTTCCATTGGTGTAAATCCAGAGTAACTCCATTGACTTAACTGGAGCTACTCCAGCTCTACAGCAGTGTAACTGAAAACAGAATCCTAGAGCATTTGGCTTAATGATGAATTTTTTAAACCTATTTTTAACATCACAATCTAAATTTTATTTAAATCTAGAATTATTTTGCTTAGTTTAT